TCAGATATAACTTAACTATAAATTAATATGAATTTAATGTGACTTTAAGACAGCGATTATTACTATTTAAAAAACTCCTTGGAACCGTTGGGCTTATGAGTTTTTTTTTTTTTTGTTAGTCGGAAACACTAATTGGATCAGGGCCCGGCTGGATCCAGCCCACACCTTCTAAAAGTCAGACACATCTCCCTCATCGATGAAATGGTGACGAAACCCCTCTCTGTTTTCTGGTTTCTTATCCATTTTTTTATGGGACAAAATATATTAAAAAAACAAGGTTAAAATTTTAATTTGATCCCTAAACTATTGTATAGACTTTTAATTTGGTCTCTAAACTAAAAAATCCTTAATTTTGTCCCTAAACTATTGTACAAACTCCTAATTTGGTTCTTATTATTTACCAATTTGGCCAAAATTAGTCTTTCTATACAAAAAAACTAACGTATTTTGTATTTAATTGTGAAAAATAATAACTTAATGGCAAAAAATAATAACTTAATGGTCACATGTCACGTTAATAATGAGGCACGTCAGTTGTTTTTGTATAGAAAGATCAACTTGGGATCAATTGTTAAACAAAATAGGGACCAAATCAGCGATCCGTACAATAATTTAGGGATCAAATCAAAAAAATTTTTAATTTAGGGACCAAATTAAAGATCCATATAATAGTTCAGCGACAAAATTGGAGATTTAACCAAGAGCTAACAGCCAATAAATCAACAGCAGCACCAATCCGCTCCATTCCCCTTTAGCGCGCACAAACACAAAGCAACTCCTTTTTGTCTTCTCATCCAAACCCTTGAAAAAAAAAAAAAAAAAAAAAATTCCCTCAATCCCTCCCTAACCCCACTCCACAGTGCTACCTGTCGCCTTCAGCTGCGACTTTTGCACCCACTCGCATTCCTCATTTTTTTTCTCTTATTTTTTTTTTCTCGATATATATAAACAGGTTTAGGGTATTTTAATTTTGGATATGAATCAACCTCAAGGTTCGGGCAACAACGACTCGGACGACGAGCTGGTTGTGGAGTCGGTTGACGCGGATTCGAAGGCGGACGTTGAGGCGGCGGCGGCGTCGGTGGTTTCTTCTGGTGGTGAAGAGGAAGGAGGAGGTGTGGTGGAGGATTCAATGGAGGATGATACGGTGAGTCCGGCTACTGTGTTTTGTATTAGGCTGAAACAGCCTAGGTCCAATTTGCAGTATAAGATGAGCGTTCCGGAGTTGTGCAGGAATTTCAGGTTAGGATTTTTGAGCTGGAAAAATCATGTTTGGATACTGTGATTTTGGCTTGTGAATTTGGCTGATGCTCTTTTTTTATTATTATTATTTGTTCTTTTCAGTGCTGTGGCTTGGTCTGGGAAGTTGAATGCCATCGCTTGTGCTTCTGAAACTTGTGCTAGAATTCCAAGGTCAGTAAAATTTATTTATTGTTTTTAATTGTGATTGAAGTTCATAGATGTTCTGGCAATTATGGATTTGTTTCCTCGAAATCGTTTCTCCACATGATAACTAATTCTGGAAATAGTTTATCTAAAGTTCATTTGGTGAAAGCTTTTTATCATAATGATTTAGTCCATTTAATTTTGTAGTTCTAATGCAAATCCACCCTTTTGGATTCCTATACACATTGTGATCCCAGAGCGTCCAACTGAGTCTACCGTGTTCAATGTTATAGCAGGTATGCTGATCTACTTTGCGGCTCTTCCTGCTATAATTGTCAGTTATTGGTTAAGCTTGAAATGCGAGCATTACTAGTTTCATTTGGTTTCTGATTTTCACAAACAGAATGCTTCAAAATTTGATTAGTGCTCTTATACAACCAATTGAGTCTCACTTTCATGCGGCAAAGGTTGGGCTAATAACTGTTAGGGTCATAATGATCTCAAAGAGGAATGTTGGGTTAGTTAAATATTTGTGGCATAATGAATGGCAAAATAAGATCTGAGGATCTTCAATGCAGATGTCAATCTCAACCCTTACACTCCTAGTATCAGGGTCTGTTTAATGCATATTAAATTTGTTTAATGTTTTGGCTAATCCAAGATATTTTGAATATAATTATTTCTTGGAAACATCCTTTGCAGATTCTCCTCGTGATTCTGTGCAATTTATCGAATGGTCCCCAACATCTTGTCCTCCAGCCTTATTGATAGCTAATTTTCATGGGAGGATAACCATCTGGACACAGCCTACTCAAGTAAGCCAGGGTCACTGGTTATTTTTATCCATAGTTTTTCGTTGGTTTTCTCTTTAAGTTTTTTATGTTCTTTTTCCTCACATTGCTCTAATCATAGTGATGAATTTTTAGCCTTTTTTAGACTTTTTCCAGTCATGAGATTGTACAGGTTTGTCTTGTTGGTTGTTATAGAATCTTATGTAGCATTGGTGTGTTAATGTAGGGGCCAGAGAATCTTGTATGTGATTCTAGCTGCTGGCAGCGCGAGCATGAATGGCGGCAGGACATAGCTGTGGTTACTAAGTGGCTGGCTGGTGTTTCTCCGGTATGCATTTTATTTTATTCCCTGCTCATTTGACATCTGAGGAATGACATATATTTGATGTGGACATTGTCATGCAGCCACTGCTTGAATTTTGGTGTTTTCAGCCAGCTTCATATCTCCTTTAAACATCCTCCATTTCAAAAATAAATAAAGAGAATAAATTTGAGATATGAAAGACTAATTATAGTGCTAGTTTATGAATATTCCCCTCCCCCCCCCCTTCTTTTTTATGCCAAAAAAACTGCATAGTTTCATGTATTGAAATGTTCTAGTACTCGAAAATTGAAATGATATTTGGAATTGGCTGAGTGAGTCCACTTTTGGTTTTAAGCTTAGGGCTTTGGCCAGTGCTGTGTTGTGATGTGGTGTACCTTTTAGAACTTAATGTTGTTGGATGAGCTTCTCTATTTTCAAATGGAGAATATTTTACTCCTCTTGGAATTCTTTTTACTCATTATTTTATGTTTTATGCATCATTGTTTGCATTGGCATAGAATTGTAATTCAAAATCCTGTCACTCTTGTTTCAGATTATGACCCTCCAATTTTGATTTTTCTTTGTTGGAGTGAAGTTATAGCTTTATTTGTTCTATAAATCAGTATAGGTGGCTTTCCTCAAAATCCAGTAACCCAGCAAACTCAAAGTCAACTTTTGAGGAAAAATTCCTTTCCCAGCAGTTTCAAAATTCAGGTTTGTTCTCTGCTTTCTTCTCATGAAGTGTTTGTAGTTATGATTTCGCAGGAGATTTAGGTCTGTCTGTCTTACAAATCATTCCTATATAAACAGTATCACACAAAAAAAAAAATTCCTGTATTTAGATTGTGTATATTTGAATCAGCATGATACAAATGACAGTGTGGTTCATTGAGCATAAGCAAGTGAAACTCTGTGAGGCTTGATTAATTGATTTGGTAAATTTATTATGCTATAAAATTCTTTTTTTAGGATGATCACAAGTCACTGAATTGGTTTTCATTTTAACTTTATTGTCAATTAAATGTCAGGTGTTAATGGTCTTAGTAGAACCTGTCATCTTGATCTGATGAATCTTTGATCTTCATTTCAGCTAGGTGGCCCAATTTTCTTTGTGTTTGCTCCGTCTTCTCCGCAGGGTCTGTTCAACTTCATTGGGCACAATGGCCTCCTACTCAGGACAATACAACACGGAGATGGTTTTGCACTAGCAAGGGACTTTTGGGTGCCGGTCCTAGTGGGATCATGGCTGCTGATGCTATCATAACAGACAGTGGTGCCATGCATGTGGCTGGTGTTCCAATTGTCAATCCCTCAACTATTGTTGTTTGGGAGGTGACACCTGGTACTGGAAGTGGATTTCAGGCAACTCCAAAGACAACCACTAGCAATGGGGTCCCACCTTCACTTAATCCACCCAGCTGGGCAGGTTTTGCCCCACTGGCTGCATATTTATTTAGCTGGCAAGAATATTTAATGTCTGAAATAAAACAGGGGAAGTCAACAGATCAAGATTTAAATGACAATGTATCACTCCATTGCTCACCAGTTTCAAATTTTTCTGCGTATGTGAGTCCTGAAGCTGCAGCTCAATCTGCAGCAACCACTACGTGGGGGTCTGGAGTAACTGCAGTTGCCTTTGATCCAACTCGTGGTGGCTCTGTTATTGCTGTCGTAATAGTTGAGGGTACTCACTGATCTTTATTCTTTAAAATTTCTGCTTTCTGATATTTTAGATCTTTGATATTGTGATAACGGAACATGCATTTATTCATTCTTAATGTCTAGTCAGTTTGTTATTCTACCTCTTGATGTTCTTTTCTGTCAAATTAGCATGATGTTCTTTTCAAGATAAAAGTCCATAATAAAATATAAATTAAAGGGTGAAGGCTATTTTCTTAATTGTAGCCATCTCCCTCAAATACATATACATAGGAGAGAGGACAATGTTTGATCCTTAACTTCTCATGTTAATGTATTGGGGAGTAAATGAACTTGTGTTTCTAATAACTGATTTTGCATTTGCAGGACAATATATGTCCCCCTATGATCCAGATGAGGGTCCTACAATCACAGGATGGAGAGTGCAACGTTGGGAGTCATCTCTACAGCCTGTTGTTCTTCATCAGATATTTGGGAATCCTTCTTCCAGTTTGGGTGGACAGCCACCTATGCAAACTGTTTGGGTTTCCAAGGTTGATACCAGTATAACACCAACTAATGATTTTAAGAGTTACCAACCAGTTGCAGCAGGACCAACCTCTGATGCAAGAAAAATTCCTGATCCTAATGCTGAAAAGGCAAAAAGAGTCAGTTTTGATCCATTTGATCTGCCAAGTGATGTTAGAACTCTTGCTCGAATTGTTTATTCTGCTCATGGTGGCGAGATTGCTATTGCATTTCTGCGAGGTGGGGTACATATTTTTTCTGGTCCAAACTTTGCCTCTGTTGATAACTACCAAATCAATGTTGGATCTGCAATTGCTGCTCCTGCCTTTTCTTCAACAAGCTGTTGTTCAGCTTCTGTCTGGCATGATACTAACAAGGACCGCACAATACTAAAGATAATTCGTGTTCTTCCTCCTGCTGGTCCAAGTAGTCAAATAAAGGCAAACTCTTCAACTTGGGAACGTGCAATTGCTGAAAGGTATTTTCTAGGGGCCATTAATACTTAGTATTGGCAGGAAGACATCAATACTTCACATACAGAGTATGTGAAATATTCCATATTAATACTTAGTATTGTTTGTGAAGTATTCCATGATAATTCTGTGAAGTTCAGTGAATTCTCATGTACCATGTGAATAGTTCATGCATTTGCATAAATCTTTGCCAACATGTACTTAATGGTATGACTAACATAATTTCTCAGATCTTCTCATTTTCCTCTAATCTTTAATCGGCATATGTTTTGAATTTTCCTGATCTGTGTGTAATTACAGATTACTAGAATTTTTTCATTGTTTTTACTAACGTAAGAATCAATTTAATGCAATAAATAGAAAAGGGCGTGGTCTTCCAATATTGTGTATGTCCTTGTCCATCTTCTGCTTGTTTGGTTAATAATTTAATGGATCTTTCCTCCATCTTTAGCTAAGAGACACTGAATTTAGTAGTTTTGGATCAGGTTTTGGTGGAGCCTCTTGGTTGGAGTTGATTGGTGGGATGCCATTGGCTGTACTCAGAGTGCCGCGGAGGATGGCATTGGTAAGGCATTTACCTTTGGTTTTTTGGGTTGATAGATTAGGAAAAGTGATTTCTTTTTATTTCCTTAAAATTTTGTGTAAATTATTTGTTTCCTTCAAATGCATTTTAGAGAAACATGTATGTTTAATGAATTATGCTTGTTGCTGATGATGGCCCTTCTTGTTTCTTTCAGTTTCTTTGTACAGTGTTATTGCTGTCCTAGATGCAGATTTTCACTCTCTGCCTTCTACTCATCATAGGCAACAGTATGGTCCTGTACGTGACTTTGGACTTCAACATTGCACCATCTGATTCTCATCTAGTCGTCTGTTTAAAACAATATGTTCTAGTTTTTATTACATGTCAACATGCTAAGTATAGTTTCTTATTGCATTGTTGTCAAACCCCTTTGACTGTAACCTTAATCTTAGGTTTTAGTTTCTTCTTTTATTCTTTTTATCTGTTTGAGTAAATAAGCTTGTTATTGCACATGTGCAGAGTTTAGACAGGATAAAATGCAGACTACTGGAAGGTACGAATGCTCAAGAGGTTAGGGCAATGGTTCTAGACATGCAAGCTAGGTTGTTGCTGGATATGCTGGGGAAAGGAATTGAGTCAGCATTGATAAATCCATCTGCTTTAGTACCTGAGCCGTGGCAAGCAACTAGTGAAATGTTAAACAACATTGGTGCTGAAGCAATGGCTGTTGATCCTGCCCTTGTTCCGAGTATTCAGGTACACTTTGCCGTATATTGACTCTCTCTGCATATTGAGTTATTGATTTTACTGGAATTTAAAATTTTGAAAGAAACTGATGATGCTGACTGCGCCATTGTACCATTGTCCCATGCTTTGATACTCCCTTAAATGGTGGTAATTCACCATGTTATTTCCTTGAGGGAATTGTTCTTCACTATTTTTTACATGCAAGGTTTTATAAACTGCTGTAGACTGCAGTATATAGTGGGATAGGCAGACTCAGCTGTGAACTCTACCCTATAAGGGAATTTTTAAATATGTAATCTGGGATAAGGGGTTTCAAACCTGGGACTTCCAAGGGCCTTAGCCTTAATCCCTGAACCAGTTTCAAGTTGGTTTCCTATATTGCAATTTAATTCTCAACAATGTGGCTTATAAAAATGTCAACAATATATGATAGTGATTACCACTTCATCATGTGCTATGTTTTTAACCTGATTAAAGTTCCTCCTGTCAGCCTAATTCAGTATTTTTATTTTATTTTATTTTACCAAAAATATTGTGAAAATCTGTTGACTTAAGATTTTCTAACTGCTGCAAATTCAGGCATATGTTGATGCTGTTCTGGATCTGGCTTCACATTTTATAACACGTTTGAGGCGTTATGCCAGTTTCTGTCGCACTTTGGCAAGCCATGCTGTTACTGGCAGCAACCGGAATGCGGTGGCTAGTCCCACCCAAAGCACAACAACTATTGCAACAAGTCAGGGTAATCATGCAAAAGCCTTGTGACAGTAAAATGTTTGGGGGGTGGGTGGGGGAGACGACTTTATTTGCATCCTATTGTTTATTTTGATTGAGCATGCAGCTGTATGTCTACTTAACCAGAGTTGAGTACATGTACTAGCCTAAAACATATTTGTAAAAATGTTTTCAGCAGGTCAAAACGGTACCACTAGTTCGGCTGGAAGCACACAGATGCAAGCTTGGGTACAAGGTGCCATTGCCAAGATTAGCAGCTCTAATGATAGTGTCTCTAGTTCAACTCAAAACACCATAAGTGGTCCTTCTTCCTTCATGCCAATTTCCATTAATACTGGAACTTTTCCTGGGACACCAGCTGTTAGGCTTATTGGAGACTGTCATTTCCTTCATAGATTGTGTCAACTTTTGCTTTTCTGCTATTTCTTTCGGCGTACACAACAATCCCGCTTTGCACAAAGAAGTACTGATACAAATGCACCAAAACCTCAACCTGGAGCACCTGGCAAAACGGACGAGGTCAATTCTGTTTCTGCTAAAACATCAACTATGACTGTGTCAGAAGAAAGCCAAGGAACTAGAGCTGGCCAGGTGGTACCCGGAACCAAAGGAGTTGAGGAAGCTCCTGCTGGCCGATTAAAGTTGGGTACAGGGAATGCTGGTCAAGGATACACTTTTGAGGAGGTGGTAACTGACTTCTCTCATTATTATCATTTCTATTACTTGATAGTTTGTCTTCACATGGAATGATCGATAAAAGTTCTTTGAATTTCATGTTGATGTGTGAGATTGTAAATAAATTATTATGTGTTTGGGCATCTATGGTAAGGATGGGAATTTTATCTCTAGGTTTGATGCAGTGAACTTCATCTATTGCTGTTTTGCAGGTCAGGGTTCTTTTCCTCATACTTATGGATCTATGTCGACGAACTTCTGCTTTAGCACACCCTTTACCAGTTTCTCAGGTTGGGAGCAGTAACATTCAAGTGCGACTCCATTATATTGATGGGAACTACACTGTATTGCCTGAGGTAGTAGAAGCTTCCCTTGGCCCACATATGCAGGTATCTACATTTTTCATCAAAATCTGCAGAACCTATTTACATTGATTTTACCAATAATTGTTAAGTTGTATTAATTGGAAAGTCTGATATAACTGTGATGGAAGAAATGTCTGTCTTCTCCATTCACATTTTGTAGCTTTAATTGTTGTAATCAACTTAAAGTTCTAGAGTAGTCCACATTTCTCTTCTTTGACTTAAATTACTTTTGTCTGGTATGCTTATATTTCTCTTTCTTTGGTATAAAGAATATGCCTCGGCCAAGGGGTGCAGATGCTGCTGGCCTTTTACTTCGTGAATTAGAACTCCACCCTCCAGCTGAAGAGTGGCACAGAAGGAACATGTTTGGTGGGCCATGGTCTGATAATGAGGATATCGCCTTCATAGATGATCTGCCCAAATTAAGTAATTCCATAGACTTACTGAATGTCAGCTCCTCAGGAAACTCTGATGTCTATTATGGAACCCATCGCCTTTGGCCAAGGAAGCGTAGGATGTCCGAAAGAGATGCAGCCTTTGGCTTAAACACTTCTGTGGGGCTGGGAGCGTATCTTGGTATAATGGGATCTCGAAGAGATGTTGTTACCTCAGTGTGGAAGACTGGTCTTGAAGGTGTTTGGTACAAGGTTTCAGATAAAGCCTCCTTAATCTCTTTTTTTAATTTGTTGGCCTATCATTCCAAAAGAGTGATGCTCTTCTTGCTGTGGTCATGGTCTTATGGATTGTGCATAATTGCCAATAGATATCCTATATATTCATTGCAAAGTTATGAATGAGTCTCTCTTGTAGTGAATTATGTCTGCATACCTTCCATCCTAATGTTAGCAATCATTTCATTTAGGTTGTGTTAGAAATCATTTCATTATTAATATAAGATGCATCTAATATCCATTTTTGTCACTTTCTATCTCCTTTTGTGATTTGGACTCCTTTTGATACAGTGCATAAGATGTTTGCGGCAGACTTCAGCTTTTGCTTCACCTGGTTCCACCAATCAACCCTGTCAAAATGATCGAGAAAAATGGTGGATCAGCCGTTGGACCTCTGGCTGCCCTATGTGTGGTGGAACATGGGTTCGAGTTGTATAGATGTTCTTTCCGAATGGTGCTCTCTCTTTTTTGGATTCTAGCTTGAGAAATATATTTTACTGACAAAGGGTGATGTAGAACTGATCTATTGGACAGAAGTATTTCACTGACATTATGATCTGGAACTTATGGATTAAACAGCCTTGTTTTTCCTACTGGATAGATAGTGCTTGAAATGTGAATTCTAATTTCACTGGGATCCCAACTATTATTGCTGATTCAAGCGGTGTGGAGACAATTTCTTCATAGCAAATTCAAGCCAAACATTCAGGTATGTTTCTCCTTTAATGGAAAATCTTGGTTCTCTTTTGACTTGCACATTCTATGATTAATGATTCAAGCCTATAATTGCATCTCATTGACAAACATCTTTGTTTCCATTCAATATCATTGTCTCCCTAATCAACTGACTTTACAATGCCTTGTATCATAAACTTTGCAGGACCATGTATATATTGATTCTCTTTTATATTCCAAATTGCAGATTGTAAATCCCCTTGTTCCGTCCTCTATGTTTCTGTTGGGAGGACCCCCTTTGTTAAAGAAATCATTTTTCAGCTTCATGGTCACCGGAACTGACAATCTTCTTATGGAAGAAACATCCGTTAGTGATTCCAGCTTTTAATAGAGTAAAATGATTGCTTGGATCCTGGAAACATTTTCTATGCATTCACTGGCAAACGCTCAAATGTTTAATGTTCGTTTTGTATGGCATGTTGATAAAAGAACGGATAGTCTAGAAATGCTTAGAAAACTCCGTTTATTTTTCTATTGCTGGAGAACCTACTTCCCATTCTCAAATTATCGTTTAGGAGTCATCTCTCTCATCTTCCCACCCTGCAGTGTAACATTTAGAACCTACAGAGAAGAGCTACTGGTTTGTAACTATCTAGTCTTTGTCACCGTAACATTTAGAACCTACAGAAAAGAGCTACTGGTTTGTAACTACCTAGTCTTTGTGCGTGACTAGAACAGAAGGATGAGCAACTCTTTGTTCTTCAAGCCATGTAATCATAACATGTTTGAGATTGAATGTCCTTTCCAGATTTCACTTCTAAATTCATTGATGTGCAGGATAATTTAGAGTCTTACATTAACAATTATTTAAAACTTTTTTTTTTGTTTGTTTTATTTTTAATATTCAAGAGGTGCGGTAACTCATATTTAAAACTTTTCAACATTTCAATATCCTCGATCACTTTGGAATGTCTCATAGGTGATATTCAAATAATGTGATTCAATTACAAAGTCTTGTTTTATTATTATTATTATTATTATTTATTTTGGGTAAATATTTCAAAGCCTTGTTTGATGGCTAAGACTTCAGATTTAATTTGGATCAAGTGTGAAAAACATTATAGCTAAGCTACCCCTTTATTCTCAAAGAAAGAAAGAAAAAAATTTAAACACATCGTTTATTGTCTTGTTTGTATAACGTCATTGTTTAGTCCTTTTTTTTTCTTGACAAATTATTTACAAAAGTGTTTGCAAGTTGGATTATACTTTTTAATGCAATTCAACCAGTGAATTTATTGAAATACATTTGATACAACTATTTTCTTATATCACTTCATTGATAATAATTTAGTAATTTTAATATTTGAATAAGTGGCGAAGTTAGGAAATATTTTTAAGGGATAAAATAAAATTTTGATTAAAAGGATAACTTTGTGTGTCAAATTGAAAAGTAAAAAGAAAATATTTTAAATAGCATTTGTTAATATTTAATGAAAAATTAATAGTAGTTGATAATGTAATATAAAAACCATTAATTGAAAGATAAAAATAAATATATATTAAGTCGAATAATATATACTACCAATAAAAAAAAGAAAAAGAAAAATATTAATAAACAAATACTTTATAAAAAATAATAATAAATAATGTTTTTTATCTTGAATAAATAATTTTTTTCAACCAATTTTTACATTTTTTCCCAAATTTTATATCATCTTTATTTTCTCCATATTTTTCTTTATCATTAAAAATAATCTTCAACTACATAAATATTAAAAAAATGATTAAAATGGTATGAAATAAAAAATGATAAAAATGATAAAAATAAGACAAAGGAGACCAAACTAAATTTTTTACAAAAGTTTAGGCTCCCTTAGGCCTCCAATCTCAGTTATTTATTTAATCTCCGTTACTTTCCCTGTCAATTTAGAAAGTGAGTACACAATGAGGTTAAACGTTGTCGTTTCCTCTCTGTCAATGATCTGTTCTCTCTGAGAAGTCTCACCGTCGACAGAGGCCGGAGCTCCGGCCAAATTTCGTTTCTCAGATTCTGCAATCAAAATTCATTCTTCTGGGATGAGCGCCACGCAGCAAGGAACGCACTCGTTGGCGTTCAGGGTGATGAGACTCTGCAAGCCGTCGTTTCACGTGGAGCCTCCGCTCCAGCTGGATCCGACCGACCTCCTCGTTGGCGAAGACATCTACGACGATCCACTTGCTGCCTCCCACCTCTCCCCACTCATATCCACTCACGTCTCCAACCTCGT